ATGTTGTGTAGAATTGCAATACAAACAACTTTTGGCTGAGGGTCACATCAGAATTCCTCACCGAATCGGAGGTAAAAAAGAAAATAACAAAATCACACCTGTGTAGCTTCGTGTTCGAGTTTGGTGACCAACCCGTTTGTTCGGGACCGAACGCAAACGAGCGCCAAAACTTTCCGAACGCGAACATCTGAAAATATATGTTATGTAAAATACTAATACAAACAACTTTGGCCTGGGAGGTATGCTCAAATTCATAACCAAACTCGAGTTAAAAATCAAAAACAAAACATTTTTTTTTTTTTCTTCCGCTAGGCTACCTGATAGGAGGACCCCCCTGACCTCTGGTCAGACGTCCTCCCGAACGCCTTCCGAACATGTTCGAGTGTTCGGCCGAACGGCTCCCGAACGCCTCCCGAACGTGTTCCGCTGAACACCCGAACATGTTCGGACGTTTGGAAAAGCTCCGAACATGTTCGCTGTGCTACACAGAATAACACTAAGGGACTCCCTTTTAAACCCCCTCAGCCCCTTAAAAACAATTTATACCCCCCTTCCCCCCCCCTTGACAGCCAACTCTCAAAAAATGAAAAGAGCCCGGATTTGGGGTCCTCTGGGAGAGCGCAGAAAGGCAAAAAAAATAAAAAAATTTGCACGCCCGAGTACCCCGGGCTTCATGCCTGGGTGCCCGGAAAAAAAAGTCAATTTTAACGAAATGTCAGATTACTCATCTTGTGCCCCTGTTGTATAATTGGGATGCTGGACCTGGTTTCCAGCTGGCGCAGCTCCCCCAGCAATGGATTGGAGCGGCCTTCTACTGGGGTTCGCATTCATGGAGGATGCTCTTGTCACCTCCACTAATAGGCACAACTGGGATGCTGGACCTGGTTTCCAGCTGGTGCAGCTCCCCCAGCAATGGATTGGAACAGCCTTCTACTGGGGTTCGCATTCATGGGGGATGCTCTTGTCACCTCCACTAATAGGCCTCTCACCGACGATTCTCATAAAAAAGTTAAAAACGAAGCTGAGAAATAATCCCTGTACCTTGTTCCAGGTGTTGAGGGGTCCCGGGTCCCCCGTCTCTTGCGCCAATTTAACAGTCCTGAAACAGTGGACAGACGAACCCCAGCCTTGCCCGTATGACCCGTATAGACCGTATTTGGGGCTGATCTTACATGGTACTTTCACCAAAAAATTGGAAAAGTTCCTTGAAAGATGGGTCCGCTGCATTCCTCACGTGAAAGAAAATTCGGGACCCACTTAGGGGGGTTTTCCTACACATAGGCCGAAACCGGCTGCACCACAACCTGAAGAACCAATGGTGGACGAACGAAAAGCCAAAAAAAAAAAAAAAAAATCAAAACCGCCTACTTTCAGGGGGCCTGGGGCAGGGGTAGGGGGTCCGGCGCTTTTGGAAATTCCTTCGCCCAGCCCGGCACAAATCCTTCCCGTGCTGCCGCGCAGGAGGCCCAGAGAAGAAACAACTAGTTTAATCTCAAGGCCCGCTCCCCGCGGAAAAGCGTGGGATCCATTTTTTTTTCTCCGGAAATTTCCCTTACTACGAGTTGTCAGATCAGTACCTCAGTGGGTTTAGTCATCCCTACAGGATCGTTAGAAGGCGAGGTTATCCACCTTCTATTGGAAGGAAGTCCGTAGCTCGCCAAATACGTGCATGCAAGAAACAGGGGGGGCGTATAGCCTGACCGCATTTCATCATTTCTGAATAAGGGGTTACAGGGGTGGCGCAAACCTTCGGTTCAAGCTGGACCCGGTCACTTACTCAGGCTCTCTAGCCAGCTGCCCAGTACCCTGTCTTTCGGGCCTTGTATCTAGACAGGCAGTTGGAACAGAGGCAGAAATGTTGCCGCAATTATTCTGAGTCGGGTCTGGAGGATTCTCGGAAGCCAACGGCCCATACCAAACCCCTGAGCTTTGCATCCCGTCATTACAATCGAACAAGGGGACCAGCAATTGAACCCCAAAGATGGTTGGACCTGAAAAGCTTGTTTGGACAGGGCTTATCGCAGCCTCGCCTTCCTCATGCCTACTCGGGCTCACAGGGACTCGTCGATGTTTGGTTATTTCCTGCCCCCGTGGTTCCCGACGGTGACTTTTGTCCTTTGGCGATTTCTCCCGTACGCGTTCGGCGGCGCTCCGTTCCTGGTACCTGTAGCAAGACGAACGGTTGAGATCCTCATCTACGGTTCGCGACTCACCACGCGAAATCCGGGCCCGCCCACCCGTGCCCTCAGTGCATGGGGGTAACCCAGAATTCCATTTTCCTCTGGTCTCAACTGTTTGAAAGCTTTTCCCCGGTCAGTCATCTGAACTCAAACTCTGCAGGTCTGTTTTTTCTAGACAATTATTGAAATCAAAGTCAGTTTTCTGAATGACCTTGACCCCTCCTACATCCCTGACTGAAAACTCGCCCAAAGAACACACATAGTAGGCGCTTTTGCAGCTCATTCTGCTGCTGCCGCTGGATAGTATGCCAATTTCATGCTGATAAGCAATGGCATGCTGCTAAGCAGACCTGAGTTCGAGTACAGATTGGAATCATGGGACTGCGCTGAATGAAATGGTTCTGAAAGTACCACAGGGTGGCAAGTTGGATGAGTATATCTCATGGAAAATTGCATCTATACCCCATAGAGAGGGCGGTCCCAGCGCCCAACTTGCATCTTTACCCAAATCCTGTGGAACTCAAGGTAATACCCTTCTTTTCCCATCGACTAAATTAGGGCCTCGGTCCAGGCGCACGAAATTATGCTCATCCCAGAAACTTGGTTCTGCACATAATGTGCCCGGATATGTCCGTAATTTATGCATTCCGGTAGTTGGGCATATCTGCAATTTGGTACTACGGACATGGATATAATTTTCACAGAACGTTTCCGGGGTAGAGACGCAAGTTGGGAACTGGGACTGAGAATGAATGGAATTCCCATTTTTCGACACAGTCCATATGCAGTTTTCCCGGAAACAAAAAGAAGATGCAAACATCGATTCATGGTGGGCAGATCTTGAGCTCGAATCCTAATGGAACCAGATGAATAAAACGGGTCGGGCCCCCAGAATGATACACAGTTGTGCTTATTTCATCAGACAAGTCGAATACCATTTTTATTTTCCTGTTATGAAAACTGTCCTTTCGCATCCGGTTCTGTATGCGTGATTCACAGCGAGAAAAGTGGACTGTGACGTCGCAATCATCTGCGCGATAGTAGGTGGACGCCTGCGTGCTTCGTTGAAGTTTCACCAGTCGTGTTCTCCCTTCCAGCTGTAGCGAATATACCGTCGTGGTTGTTCTTACGGTGTAAAGTACTCGAAAGTTCGCCGTGAGGAGACCGAAGTACGAAGCAATACCGACTATACGCAATCACGGGTGAGCATCCGTCTAGCAAGACTCTCTCTCTCTCTCTCTCTCTCTCTCTCTCTCTCCCGTGTGCCATTTCCTCCCTTGCCACCCGCCTGTTAACTCCTTCCCCTCTTTCTGCCGCTGTCTGTCTGTTTCTAACTCTCCGCACCCACTTCTCCTCTCTAGATGTCTCTGTGACCACCTGCTGGGGCTTTAGCGTGCGACGTGCGTGTCCGTGTGCCTGCGCCTGAGCGTATGCGTGCGTGCTTGAGGAAAGCGCGGGCGGCAGCTTTTCCCTCCTTGGACTCCCTTCCCGGTGCCTTTGTGGTTCCCTCTGTGCGGTTAAGGTTCGACTCGTTTAAACGAGATTGTCAATTTTGCTCTTGTTCAGTTTGTTTCTGGGCGATCTTTAGCGTTCGTTTGAGGTTCCTGCGTGTCTTGTTTGAAGGAAAGTGGATGCCTGGAGGTATCTCTTTCCGACAATAGTGACGATCATAATGAAGAGAGGGCGAATCTTGACGAGAGTGATTCTCTACTGTCACAACTGAAAAGTAGTCCTTGGGGCCTGGGCGGCTTTTTTGGGGTGTTTTGCTCGCTATTTTCTTTTCCTTTTTTGGTTTCTATATGTTTGGGTGGTGCTCTATTGATGGGTGGCTAGTTCGGTGCAAAAGGTTTTCCCGATTTCCTGTAAATCTGGGCTAAAAGACGACGAAAAATAGGATTTCGTTTCACTTTTCCTCTAGGGTTAATTAAACAAATATTGCTTTCTCCAAATTGACTACGTAGTGGTGAGAAGAGTCATGACACGCATGCCGAATCCAATTGAGGCCTTACTCCACCCCCAAGTTTCCTCAAAGTCGCTATACTCGGGGACTCCAGACTGCAGCGCACGCTCCTATTGGTTATAGAGTCGTATTCAATTGCGTACCTGCATCTCTGTAGTCTTACCGCGTACTACGGCGTGTAGGTGTAAACGTTCGAGACGCTGAACTATCAGGGGGGGGGGGGGGGGGGG